CGGAAAGGTGGACTGGACTAGCTTGGGGGTTTCTCAAGTGTTTGTTCCCAATAGTCACAATGATAGTGGTTGACAATACATTACGAAAGGATTGTCCTTACGTCACCCTAGAGGGTAGAGGTCACAGACACTTTGTATATATTTTGTACATCATCACACGTTAACCATTTTGAACTTCTTCTTATCTTTAGAGGCTTCAGATAATTTGAATGTTGAATCTTGTTGTAGAAGAATCATTCTTTAAGTCTTAGACCCTAAGTCTTGGAGTCTTCAGAACTTATCCTATTAGAACCTTGTCTTTAGAGTCTTTAGCACTTGGTCGTAAGAACTTGCTTGTCTTCAGATCATCAGAACTTGTTCAGCAGAACTTCGTCTTCATAATCTTCATAAATTTGTATTACACCAAAGTAAATTTGTAGAAGGCCTCCAAATTTAAACCATAAAGTCACGATCAAAACCTCTTGTACTAACGTTCCTAAGACACGTTGCAGAAAAAATGCTCAGAATCTTGACTTCAATTGTAACATGTAACCACATGTTTTCTTCCAAAAGTGTATGTTTAGAACCTAATGGCGTCACATGCCTTGATGCTAGAGTCAGAATATTACAGCATCAGCTACACACTAGAATAAACCATTAAAGTATACAATTATTCTTAAAGATAACATGTAAAGTTTACATACGAGGTGTGTCCTTACCCTCTACTTGCAGTCTGTGTTACCAGGAGGAGGAATCTATTCCTCATCTTTTTTTCAACTGCAAATACTCTCGCGAAGTTTGGCACTTGTTAGGAAGTATGTTGAGTTCCAGTTTAACCATAACCAACCTGGATGACTACTTGTTGATTATGAATCTTTCTGTTTCTGCACAGCGCAAAGTTGTCAATAGAGCCTCAATCGTCATTTTGATTAACTGCATTTGGCATGCTAGGAACTTGGCTAGGTATAAGAATTTACGCGTTCATTGGAGGTCTTCCTTCTCTTCCATATTTTCCTTTACTAAATTGGTTGGTAACCCGGCTTCTGAGTGCTACAACTTGGCTATTAGAGACTTTGTGGTCCTGAAAATTTTCTCAATTCATATCAATAATCCAAAGCCCCGGGTCTACAAAGAATTCATTTGGTGCCCTCAAATCAGGGGATGGCTGAAGGTGAATATTGGCAGTGCTTCTGGAGGGGTCACTACGCCATATAAGGGAAAAAACAACACGTTTTTTTGGCATAGACAACTCTCAAAAGTGTTGCCTATACTGGCGCTGTCGTAGGCAAAGACATCATTTTTTATAAATGTAAAAGCGTTGCCTTATGTCCCCTTTAGGAAGCGCTTCATTTTAAAAGTGTTTTCTATTGTACCTTTAGGAAGCACTTTTTTTTCTTGAAAAGCGCTTTCTATTGTCCCTCTTTAGACATTGCTTTTAAATCGCTTTCTAATGTATCTTTTAGTTCTATTTTAGCCAGCGCTTTCTTTAAAAGCGCTTTCTATTTTCCAGTATAGGCAGTGCATTTTTTTATAAAACATTGTCTAATGTCTCACTTACGAAGCGTTTTGTTGTTAAAAGCGTTGTCTATTCTATACATATGGCAGCGTTTTTGTTAAAGTGTTGGCATAAGTCTTATTTTTTAATAAAATGACAACATATTTTTTAGAAGCACTGACACAGCATGAAAGTTTTTGATAACATGAAATATATACAGCAAATAGTACTATATATATATATATATATATATATATATATATATATATATATATATATATATATATATATATATATATATATATATATATATATCAACTCTAGCTAAAAAACTATGAACTTGTCTTCTGCACACATCAATAACTTTTAGTAACTTGTCATCTCTATCTTCTGCAAAACAAAACCAACCAATTAAAAAGCATCAGAACTAAGCTATATAACACATAAACCTATAACCATTATAATTCAACACAAACCTTATAAATATTGCTATATACCATTATACATCAAGAAAATCATATTTTTATCAAAATTTATCACAAACCTTTAATTCAACACATAAACCTTATAACCATTATGATTCAACATATAAACCTTATAACCTTATAACCATTATAATTCAACACAAACCTCATACACCAAGAAAATAATATTTTTATCAAAATTTATAAATGCTATATACCATTAATAATCAATTTTCTTCAAAATTAAAACACCCATTAGACCATTTACAATGGTTGAAAAACTCAACACCCACTTTTTCAACTCCCAACACTCCACAACATTTTCTCTTTCTTCCACCTAATAACTCAACACTCATTCAACTTTTACCCTCTCCAATGGTTTTTCACTCAACACCCTACCCCACCACTTTTTATTTTCATATTCTTATTTAAATTTTATTTTTATTTTTATGATTAGCAGAATTTGGTTAAATGTTGGGATTTAAATTTTACTTTTTATTTTCATATTCTTATTTAATTTTATTATTTTCATGTTGGGATTTTGGTTAAATGGAAAATTAGCAGAATTTTGAGTGTTAAAATGATTATTGGGATCCATTTCACTAAAAAAAGACACTTAACTTCAAAATAAACACTAATAATAAAATTAAGATAGTGAAAAACTTAGTTTTTTTTTCTGTGTCCAAATCAAATAAACCAAGTCTCTATTTATAGAGAGAAAAAAATCATGAATTTTGGTAAAAAAAAAATAAAAAAAAAATTAATTTGCAACGAAATAATTGAGTTCAAAGTATTAAATGGATAAAAATCTGGTCAGCCAATCAAGCACAGCCACGTGGCAGCTTCAATTGTGTTGAGTTTTCTCAACACCTCTCTCTTCCAACACACACTCAACACCTCTCTCAACACCCATTGGAGGAGATTTTGTATGTTGAGTTCAAACTCAACATACCCATTGCACATGGTCTTATTCTAATAACAACAAATATACTTCCAAAACCTTTAACTTCTAAAGATTCACCAAACATAGTTACAATTTCCATCAACCCTTAATTCACAACAACTTCCAGAACTATTCCAATCCAGTACAGAACATCACAACAACAAAAATCTCTAAGGACCGTAAACTTCAAACAAAAGAAAGAAAGACAATACTTTATATAATGCTCATCTCAAGAATGTATTGACACCAGTCATCCTTAATTTCTTCCAGTTTATCTTTCGAATAAGTAGAACACTTGAATTCATCAAAGTACTACATAATATGATTTAGTTAAAACTAATTAATAAGATGAAATATCTGATAAATATTAAAATAAATCATAACTTATAAATTCATACCATGTTTGGAATCTCTATTTGATAAAAAAAGAATAGTTTTTTTCATAAACTTCAATACGAAATAATCACAATCTATACCATTAAGATGATGAGGACACTACACATAGAAAAAAACGAATATATATCAGGATATATAGTTTAACTTGTTTTATCAAGTAGCATCACTATTATAATCAAAATTATGAACATATACCTGCACTCTGATCCATGTAATGTTGTTTGCTTTACTCTTTGGTACTCGAGCTTGTCTTTGTGATAAGAATATTTATATAGCTCTAAGAAAATATAAATGAATATTTAGAACAATCTCACATAAATAAATAAATAAATATACACAAAAACATTTAGAACAATCTCACTTACGTATCATATTTCAACACTTCAATATTACCATAGTTGACTCCCACTCATAAGCAATAATTTTTGCCATTTTTTAAAAACGATATCATATCCCAAAAATTTACTAAAATTAAATCTCATTTTTGTTTGGTTCTCAAAAATTATCTCACGATATAACTTAAAATTGGTAAAAATTGGTACTTACCAGTGAATACCTGATAGGAAGTGAAATTAGTTTCTAAACAACTTAATTATTTAAGTTAGAATGATAATGTATCTTAGTTGGGCCCTTATTTCATATTGTTTAAATGGCCTTTTTGGCCATTAAGTCTTTATGTTACTATCCACTACTACTATCATATATGTACTCATTGAGAGATGAAAAACTTATCAATGAATCAAATGAAAAAGTTATTTTATTTTCCTTTATTTTATTTAGTCAATTTAATGTTCTTCCCCTTTTAGTGTAGAAAAATCTTAGTTTATAGCTTTGATAGAAATCTTCCTATCAATTGGTGCTTTCATCCATGTCCTCAAATCCTCCTATGAATTATTTTTATCATACACCTTCATTTTCATACCACTCCACCATAGACATCACTCCCACCACACCCTCCTTTCCATCTTTCCCATGAGAAATTTTTACACCTTGTTATTCCAATATTCATGTTGCATAACCATCACCAACTATGAATTTTCATCATGGATATACACTACTTATGCCCAACCCATGATATTCAACATCTTATGGTTATGATATTTGTCACCAACAACAACAATCAATTTCCACTTCACATCTTCATTCATCGCATACCACTACACCATTAAGCACACACCCTAACTCCATCCACATGAACAACAATACCTTTCAACAACAATTTCCTCACGATAATCATAATCCTCAACATAATCTATTTCCTCCTCCACAAGCTTGGAACCCTCAAAACCCCAACTTTCGACAATCCACTCCTTAAAACCTCAACTTTTAGCCACCCAGTAGTCCCAATCGATGGAACAATCAGAATCAGTGGAACCCCCAAAATGGGCACCCTAATCAGTTGAATGAATGAGGTATTGTTCAAGAACAAGCTCTCCCTCCTTCAATTGTTGACTTGACACATTTTTGTAGTGAGAAGAAGTTTAAAGAGGCGCTCGAATTGATGGAAAAAGGTGTTAAAGCTGATGCTAATTGCTTTGAGCTTCTGTTTGATTTGTGCGGTAAGTTGAAGTCTGTTGAGGATGCTAAGAAAGTACATGATTACTTTTTGCAATCTACTTTTAGAAGTGATTTAAAGTTGCATAACAAGGTGATTGATATGTATGTGAACTGTAAAAGCATGATTGATGCACGTAAAGTGTTTGATCATATGCCTAACTGAAAAATGGATTCTTGGCATATGATGATTCGTGGCTACGCAAATAGTACGATGGGAGATGATGATCCAAATGAACGCCTCAACATCCTAAGTAGGTATTTAGACTTGCTTAATGCTAGTATCAAGACTCCTCTAGAAGTTGTTCACCAAGCTATTTTCGTTTCAACCTATGTGGTGTCTAATGATGCTTATATGGAAGTTGTTGACCAAGAAGATGTTGTTGGCTTATCTGCTGATGTATCTAAAAAGGCTTTTAAGGAGATTGTCCAATTATCTACTGTTGGCTTGTCCGTTAAGTCATCTGAAGAAGCTTATCTGGATATTTCTCACTAAGATATCGCCCCTATCGATGTTGTGGTACCTGATGATGCTTGTATTGATAATCTTGATGATGCTGACATGCTATTTGAAGAGGCAGGGAAGATAGATGATGTAGATTCGACTATTCTAGCAAAAAAATATGAGGAAACTAAGGTTTTGGATGATAATGTTATTGTTGGAAGTGATAATGATGACCTTTGCATCATGTGTCAAGATGGAGGGGATCTTTTGTGTTGTGATGGATGCCCAAGGGCTTTTCAAATAGATTGTGTGCCTCTGCGATGTATTCCAAGTGGTACTTGGTATTGTAAATACTGCCAGAATAATTTCCTGAATGAGAGTAATGTGGAACTCAATGTGAATGCTATGGCAGTTGGAAGGATTGCAGGCATTGATCCTTTAGAATAGATTAATCGAAGATGTATTCACATTGTCAAGAGTGTAGTGTGTACACCCCCATTTCTAACCAACGGATTTTATAAAATCAGAGTTACAAAATTTCCAACGAACAAATGGAATGCTACACTTACTACTTAAAACACTTTAGTTAATCACATGTAAAACAGATACATAAAATAAAATTCGGATGAACCGATAACAACCTGTTTAGTCTTTGAAAACAAAACAACTTTTATAATTAAGCAGCGGAATCACAATGTTCAACTCAAATGACATAACATCTTTGTTCAACTGAAAACAACTTTAAAACAACAAGTACTTAACGAAAATAACTTAAAATTAAGCAACAGAAGTAAAATCAACAATAAAGCAACAAATGTTCGTCCCCCCGAGTGTTACGTATCAGAGCGACGACACCGACTCGAACCATTGAAGGTAAACAGCCTTCACTCTGGATTACCTGCACGTTACCAACATGGAGTAACATTCAAACAGAAGGGGTGAGATATCGAACAATATAATAGAACACATGATAAATAGTATATTAAAATTAGTTCATACAAAAACACCACTTAGAAGCTCTTCAAAAACATTTAACATAATCAATTCATCCACACAATAACTCAGGGTGCAACATGAAATGCAAATTGTTTTTATGCACGTGCATGTGGTACCAACGGAGCAAAACTTCCAACTTAATAATCTGCCAATTAATAGAGGCATCAACAAGGTATAATCCTTCAACTTTATATTTGCCCATTCAGGCCAACTTACCGAGCATGAGCTCCCAACTTGATATGCTATGTATGCGACAACAATATCAATGTAGTAACAACAACAACAATAATTCCACAACAACTCAACACAATTCAATATTGGCCATAAGCCTACAACTTAATATCTGCCAATAATTAGAGGCATCTCAACAAAATTCATCATCACCTGCCAAATCTCAAAATTATAACAAAGTATACAATACACTGTATTAACCAAAATATACTATGACGTCCTGCATAATTATTCGGGTAATTCGACTATAACAGACTAAGTAGTTTCCTACTAAAATACTAATGTTTTCGGCTATGTATTATTATCTTCAAGTTGATACAGTTTACTGCTAGTCAATTATTAATTACATTAACTCTCTTACCACAAACTTATATTTACTAGAATTCATTAATCATTTGGGGATAAAATACCTTAAGAATTCTAATTATTATACTGAGATTACTAAACTAAATTAAATAACTAAATAGTCTGCACAGGAGTGTTAAGGGATGAGAAAAGAGTATGTGCTCTTCAACGTGCACGGGAATAACAGTAGGGACATTAATAACGACGTGTACCCCTCGACACAGTGGCCATGCCGCTCGGTACCTTCCCTTTATGCCTCTACCAGCCGACACCCCATACTTTCTCGGCACATCGTGCAACCTTGTGCCGCTCGACACAACTACATATTCCCCTCGACGCACCTTACAACCTTGTGCCGCTCGACACCTAATACCTATGCTCCTCGGCACATCTTGCAACCTTATGACGCTCGACACCTTGCACATGTGCTCCTAGGTACATCTTGCAACCTTATGCCACTTGACGCAAATACCTGTGCCCCTCGGCACAACGCGTCTTCACAGTTTTGAACAGATTTCGTCCAGTCTATGATGAATGTTAACCTAGCCTTATAGTATTCTCTTCGACCATTAATTTCCGACCAACCGCATGGAATAACATAGCAACTGGGCAACTATATCTCCTATTAACAAATTCATCAATCGTACAAGACAGTCATGTAGAAAATTTCTAAACGACCACAACGTGAAAACGGACAACTTTCAAGAACAGGCCCAGAAAATCAACGCACAACAATTATATCCACGACCAAAACCCTACACAATATTCATCATAAGCCTCATTATAAGGTCAGAACCTCAGCCTTACCTTGAATTGAAGGTCGCTCGACAGCTCTCCGACCGGAACCTCGCTTTGCTCTTCTCCTTATTTCTCTGCTCTGCAACTTCTCACGGCCAATTTTCCAACAACTCCTCAATTAACCATATTATTTATTTAAATAGAACCTCACAATATTATTATTCTTAATGGGTTTAACAACACACCCCATATATTTCTACTTCCAACCATTAAAATAGGTCCAAAATAATTATTCTATTATTCTACTAATTCTAGTATTATTACTACTATTAATCAAATAATTAATTAACTAGTAATAATCTAGCAACTTATACCAACAATTCACAATATCTCACAACTTCAACGAATAATTTCTAAAATAATTTAATTAAATCATTAATTAAATTAACGAACATTACATAGTGAGTGTCCCTAAAACAAGTTCAGCTGCTAATAACATTGTCAATCAAAAAAATATCCAACCTCAAGTTGTTGTTGTTGTTGCAGCAACCACTTCGCCTAATGAAATCGTCAACTCAAATTACACAAACTGATCAAGGAAAATCTTCAAGTTCTGACCAAGGAAAGTCTCTATCAATTTCTGATCAACATTAAATTGTTGTATCCAATGTTTATTCCTCTTCAAATTATGTGCCAACCCCATTTATCGCCCAAAATCATGGTGTTGGTGGTGCCACCAATAGGGAAGTAGGGAATGAATGGATATCTGTCGGGCCAAGTCATGTTGAAGGGAAAAAACTTGAAGAAGCCGGTGATTTATCTGCATCCAAGAATGAAAATTCTAGGTCATTGAATAGCTCTTTGAGATCACCTCAAGATGTTTCTAAGACAGCCAATGTCACAAAAGTCTCAGCTTCAGAAGCTCATATGCAATTAACTGAGTTGAGGTAACATGTTACTTTTCCAAGTGCCTGAGGCTTTTAAAAGCGGCCTGACATTTGGAAGCTTTGATACTTTTGGTCCAAGTGAAAGATCTTATAGTGTAACTGGTTGTGACAATAGCATTTTTCCCACTCCTGAAACTTCTCCAGAATTATGAAGTCGTTAATTCTAGCAACCAAAGTGCACCATTGACTGAAGATATCCAAAGTGTGTCGTTGACTGAACACTGAGGTCATGTTGATTGTGCATATTCTTCAACTTATCTAGTTAAAATGACATTGGCTTCAGGAGGCATTTTATAACTGATAATGACTCAAAGATTAAGCATTAAAAGTCCTCATCGCTTGTATCGTATTGGTTAGAACCACCCATTCATCATCACACATTGAAGGAAAATAGAAAGATAACCATTATTCAAATTAATACTGGAACTTCTATTTGGTTACATGATTTTGATATTTTCCAACAGTGTTATCTATCTAGTAGAATTTGGCCTAAGTGTTAAATTTTAATCCAGTGTGTCAAAACTATGTGTCGAAAAGATTTGATTTGTTTTAGATTTAAATAGATTTGATTTAAGTCTAGAATAAATTAGATTTGATTTAGTAACAAAAAGATATTTTGGGCTTTGGGCTTTGGGTGTAAGCTCAGTTATAAATAGAGGGAGTAACCCCTATTTTTGTAAGCAAGTCAAGCAAGTTCATTCACAGTATTTTACAGTTGCAAAGTGAATAAGAAAGTTTTCACAGTTTCTAAGCAGAGAGAAACTTTACATAAATTATTTGTCTTGTCTTCTTTTCTTTGTTTGTCCCATAATTAAATTGTCATTGTGGTAGAAATTCATCATAGACTTTGGTGGATTTCCAACATCTGGTATCAAGAGCTTTGTTTCGATTCGAGGGAAGTTTCGATCAAGAACGATTGAAGAATTTACGATGACAAGTTATGGGAATGCAAACTATCCATCAACGCTACCAATTCTGAAAGTTGACAACTATGAGAATTGGTGCAAACATATGAAAGTCTTATTCAGGTGTCAAGGTCTTTGGGACCTTGTAAAAGATGGAGTCGAAGTGCTTGGAGAAAACGCTTCAGAAGAAGAAAAGAAGAAATACACAAAATCTGAGAAGCTGAGTTATAAAGCATTATTTATAATTCATCAATGTGTCAGCCCGGACAATTTCAAAAAGGTTAGTGATTCATAATCTGCAAAAGAAGTTTGGGAGATCCTTGAGAAGTCTTTTGGAGGCGCTGAGAAAGTGAAAGAAATGAGGTTACAAACTCACAAAAGGACCTATGAACTGCTTCAGATGAAAGACAGTGAAAGCATATCTGATTTCTTCACCAGAGTTACAAAACTAGTAAATAAAATCAAGATATGTGGAGAAACGTTAACAACAAGAGTTGTTGTTTCAAAGATCTTGAGATCTTTAGCTCCTAAGTTCGACCACATAGTGGTGGCGATAGAAGAAGGGAAAGACTTGTCGAAATTGACAAAGGAAGAGCTTCAAGGGACGCTTGAATCTCATGAACAAAGAATGAACGAAAGAGTTGCAGGAAAATTGAAGAGTGATGTGGCCCTGCAGGCACATTCAGCAAAAGAGACCAAAGGCAAAGGAAAGTGTTTCGACAGAGGTAGAGGTGGCTACAACAAATCGAATAGTAGAGGAAACCAGATCGAAGGAAACGTGTCGAATCAAAGAAAACCATACCAAGGCAACCAAAGAGGTGGTGTTGCAAATATAGGAAGAGGTGGTGGTCGAAAACCTGATAAGAGTCACATTCAATGTTACAATTGTCAGAAGTATGGTCACTATTCGAGTGATTGTCCAGAAAAACGAAAGAATCAAGAAAGTGATGCAAAGCTTGCAAAACAAGAAGAAGAAGAAGAGATGGTGCTGATGGTCACAACAAGAGATGAAGATAGATTCAAGGACCAATGGTACTTGGATTCAGGATGTTCATCACATATGTCTGGAAGGAAAGACTGGTTTGTAAATATAAAGCCCTCAATGAAAAATATGGTAAAATTTGCAAATGACAATACCCTAGCAGCTGAAGGTATTGGTGATGTTATGATTATGAGGAAAGATTGCAAAAGGTTAGTAATCTCCAATGTGTTGTACATACCAGGCATGAAGAGCAATTTGCTCAGTATAGGGCAGTTGGTCGAAAAGAATTATAAAGTGTCAATC